TCTTCTGATCAGAATAAAGCAAAATATATGTAAACTCGTATCCTTGTTTGGATATGCATGCATTTTGCTACTGCATTTGATGTAAAAATGAATTTTCCGCTTTTCCCCACAGAATTACTGCTTGTTAAAAGTTTATAACTGCACATATGTACCGTTTTCTGTATACTGGTCTAAGATTCAAATCCACCACGAATTTATTCAGCTTTTAAAGAAAATTAATATATTTCACTATGCCTTTGATGCTCGCTAAATGATGCTGAAACAATTACAACATGGCTCTTACTATTTAAAAGCCATAATACACTTTAAATTCATTATTATGAAAATATTAAGTCCTGGATTATAGAGGTGCATTGGGCTTAAAATGGAATTTCTCAAGCAGAAGTGCAAGAAATACAATGTTAAGCAGAGTGAGGAACCAGAGCTTGAATTGGTGCTATAAAACCGTGAGCATAAAGATCTTCTGATGTGCTAGGAAAGACAGGGCCTCTGACATGCCTTGCAGAGAATAAAAACACAAATCTAGAACAAAAATTATGTCAGACAGTTGGTAAGTGACTGAAGCAATGTGCTTGGGCCACCACTTGTCACAAATACTACACCCTTAATTGGAAAGCATCTGTCTGCTCATTTTTCTCTACGGCAATCTCTATTTTCTCTTTAAACTGTGAAGAATGCTTCTACTAACAGGTGCAGCAGTGTTTATAAATTTAAAAACTTATTTAAATGAAGTTGAAAACCAGGTATGCTTCAATTATTAGTGCAATACCTTATAAGAAGGAATCAAATGCCATTTGGCAAATATGTTGATTCCTATGGGTTTGTGAGCTTTAGTTACTGGAAAGCTAAAGATGCAAAGGAGAGACAAAGACGAACTGTGCTTTATGCAATTTCAGGTTATGCATTTGAATGCACAGAAACTAGGAAGAAAAGTCTCACCCGAGAATCTGAGTAATGCACAAAATTTCACATACACATTTTTAACTGTTTGATTTCATTAAAAGCAAACAAATAACATCCAATGTGTGTAACAAATTATACCTTTGCAATAGCTTATTTTACTAAAATTTAATTTTCATGTGGTTCAAATGCTAGCTAAATGTCAAGCGGTTCAGGGTTTTTTTTTTTTTTTTTCACCAGTTCAGTTAACTATAGTCAACTTTGGTGCAAAGTACTAAGTGGGAAGTTTCAGAAAGAAGCAGTAAATTTTCAGTTGCCTGCTGTTCTTTGTAGCTTGATGAATACTGCTGTGTGCTGTCCCGCGTAAAATGTGAATGTCTGTTTACCCAGTGGAGCCAAGCTTCCCATGCAACTTCTTGTAGTGCTTTACTCATCAGGAGTCAGACTCTCTATTTCTCCATCCTATTACTCCAATACATTTTGTTTAATAACAATTCCCGATGGCAACTGTAACAACATCAACATATTTATAATAGTACATTGTTATAATTATTCCAGTTTATAGTTCATTGTTGATTTTTATCTGTGTTTAGTTAAGATCTTATCTTTATTTTAGATTTATTTATTTATTTCTCATATATTTCGAGTTATAAAAATTGGAAGGTACAAAACAGTTTATGGTGGGAATATATAGGAGAGATTCTTTATACAACAGCAGGAGAGGAAGCAAAGAAAAGAGGGTAGAAAGAGCTACACATACCAGCCCTTGTTTAATCAAACCTGGTCTTCTAAGGACTGTATAGTCTTCATATTAGTGTCATAAGCTGGGGACCAACTGTGAAAAACATGAGCCTGTGGGGAAATTTCCAAATTCAGATGGTAAGAATGGAATGTGCAATTTTGTGTCAATTTTGTTTATTGGATATCAGTAAATCATCAGAGGCACAGAGACACATGGACTTGAGAAATGACAGATCTATAGAAACAGTGCTCTGACTCCTAGCCCTCTGGGACACTTCTCTAAAGACAACATGTGAAAATTAAATTTTGAAAGCCAGGATCTAATTTTCTTGACTACCTTACTAATTGGGACAGTAAAATATTTTAATATCCTACATGAAGCTTTTCAATATTTAAAATTCCTCTTAATAGCTGTGTACAAATATTTATAATAGGCTAACACAGAAAGTAAAGTTTAATATCTGTTCCTCAGAGAGTACACATGAATCATCTCATCATAACCAATCCTATTTGGCAAGGGACAAATCTACTTTTAAAACTTCTCCCCACTGAATCACCATAAGTAAGGTCATTTGTCATTAAAACATGGAGGACTCTACTAATTACTTTTGTAGAAATGAATACAATGAAAAATTATTTGGAAGACAGGAGTTAGGCATTCTAAGTATATTTTGTAACAATGTTTGGGCCTTTCAGAGTAAGGCCCTTCTATAGGAGAGACACTGGCTTTCCCAGTGATAACAGCACTACCTTGTTCCTCATTTCCCATCTGCTTCCTCTCATCTGCTTCCCCACATTCTCCAGTGGATCAACCTCAGACAACATCTGTTTACCTTAACCATGAACAGCTTTTACCTTGCACACTGAAGTGTGCTTCCCAATTATCAGGCACCACTCCACTAATCTATGGACGCTACACCCTGACAAGAAACTGTGCTCATCACGATGGTTGATGGAGTCTTAGCATGAGCACAGAGCTCATGACAATCTCATTTAATCCATAGCACAGTCTAGAAAGTGTGTTCCAGAGTAAACCAAAGCACTTGATCTAAAAAATAAATCCGGAATTTTGGGAAGAGGAAGACTCATTTCCACAGGCCTGACCGAGCCACAGAAGAAGCAAGATGTGACTGCCTCACTGGATAAGGTACCGAGCCATGTGGCTAACATACATAAAAATAATAGGCTAATAAAAGTTATAAGAGTTAATAAGAAGTCTAAGCTAATGGGCCAATCAGTTTAAAAAAAATAAATCCAAGAGACTTCTTTTTTATAAAAAGAATCTGTCTTGTAGGTATTTACTCAAGACTAAGCTATACTAGAACACTTGTGGCTGAAAACTTAATGAAAATAAGTTAGGTGCACAAAACAGAAGCTACCATTCAACTTGAGAGCAAGATGGCAGCCGAGTGTGCTAGAACTTGAGGATGATGGGGGAAATTCAAAGGTATTGTGCAGGAAAATGTAGATGTTATTTCTTAATTTATCTTTTTCATATTTTTATTGATTATTTGGGAATTTCACATCATGAACCCCAAGCACACTCAGTTGCCAGTCCTCCCAAATCTGTCTCCACAACCCTCATGATCCCCTGCTCCCGCATAAAAAAAAAAAAGAAGAAAAGGAAGGTCCAATTCGTGTTGCCCATATACTCACTAGGGCATATTCAAAATCCCAGGGGCAAACCTCTTAAGGAAAATGGAATCCTTCACCACCCATAACCCTTCCAGAAGCCATCAACTGTGGATAACTACTCTTCAACATTCTTATTAAAGTTTTTAGAGTTTCCTTCAGTGACTTTCTAAGCAGTTTTGGTGTTTTGGCAGGAGGGGTACAGGTTGACACAGAAACCTTCTATGTCCCTCTTTCTTAGCTGTGAGTCTGTAGTCATCAATACCATGGCAAACATAGCTTCCTTGCCTTTTACAATCAAGGAAGCACAGATCATGGACTTACATATGGTCTCTGAAGACAGTAGAATGTGGCAAAGAGCTCAGCATGGCCTCAGATAGTAATGCAGACTACAGACATCAACACAGCCATCATCCTGCAAGGGCCAAGGACACCACCATAGCCCTCAGGGGCAGCACAGGTCAAGGATATCAACATGGCTTCAGGTGACAGTGCAGGTCATCGACTTACTCATGTGCATATATTGAGTTTGTGCAAAAGAACCAACACGTCTGCATGTGCATACAGTTTTTTTTTCAGTCTGGTGAATGAAGCCAGAGCAACGGCTGGCAAATGAAAGCACTTGCCGCGTAGACCTGATGAGTTGAGCTCAGTTCCAGACTCCACTTTGAAAGGAGTGAACCAACCCTTGAAATTTCTCCTCAGATTCTGCATCCCTGCTGTGACAAGAACACCCTCCATACAAACAAGAACAATATTTTTTTAAAAATGTGTTTTAAGATGGTGAATGAAAATCTTAACTTAAATAAGTAAATCTAAAGTATTACTCTACATTACCATAGAGTTAATCTCCCCACAATAGGATTCTCCTGCAGTTTTTTGCCTCCATAAGATAGTGGATGATAATCACTATCTCCAGGGAAATAAGAGTGCAGAACAGAGTGATGGATAATATAACACCAAGTCCTGCCAAGTCTACTAGAATATAGGAACTACATAACTGGAGATGGGTCTATATAAACATAACTTAAAAGTCTTTCCTAGACACATCTACATTTAAGGACCATAGCATACTTCACTCATTTTGTAGTCAATGTGTTGTCAAGATAATAATGTCTTAAAGCTGGGTGCTCCAGAAATTCTCACAGACACATGAACAATGAGATCAAGAAGGTTTAGATTCACCTGGAAGCAGCTTTCTGATTCTCAGAAATAGTGAAGGACTCAGGTACAAAAGCTAGATAAACAAGGCTAGTGAAAATGAATCACACTTTCATATTATTCTTTGGGGAAAAGGTTTTCAGGAATGCGAACTGTTGACAAACTTGGAGAGCTAATCCACAAGACTCACATTAACACAGAGCACAAGAAATGTATTTTTCCTTGGGCACAGAAGGGGAGTCTTCTGCTCATGCCATGAGCTTCTGTCAACACTGAAGACTGCAATTGCTCTGATGTTAATCCAACAATTGATGTTTCTTGCTGTGAAGCTCTCTATGAAAATGTGAGCAACAGTGTAAGGCTTTCTAAACTGAATCAAGTACTCTTTAAAGCTCATGTTTCCAAATGATATTTCAAAGCCTATGAACAAGAAGATTATTTCGCAATGAAGCCCATTCCTAGAGTGACCTATTTTGTCTGAAAGAAGAATATGAAGCTATGTTAAAATAAAATATGCATATCTGCTACATTGCAAGTGAGTGCTTTCCATGTTTGGAGACAATTACCTCTAATGTTTTGATGTCCTCATAAGTAAACTGCACAGCTGGAATGCCAAGATGGTTGATGAAATAGTCAGCATCACCTTGTATCTGTACAGAGCTGATGTTGGCTCCCGGGCACTGAGCTTTTCGGGTACAGTTGAACTTGTTTATCTGAAAAACACAATTTCAATACTGTCAACATCTACTCCTCATGCTTTCCAGATAGCTTGCCCGTTAGTGTCACTCAAAATTTGGCCCCGAGATCAGCAAATTAGTCTCTGTCAATGAACTAATGTTGGGATGCACGTGACCAGGCTTTTCACTGTGTTCCTTCCACGGGACTGTTACGATGCTGAAGCTCACAGTACTTTGAGTAGCATTAAGGCAGATAAAGGTGACTCCTGTCCCCAGGCATTGGTCCAACACACACACACACACACACACACACACACACACACACACACACACA